ACACAAACGTTCACAGCAGCATTATTAAGAATAACTGAACAGCCACATGTAGTGGCACACGCCTGTAATCCCAGCACTTGGGAGGCTGAGGCAGGAGGATTGTTGTGAGTTCAAGACCAGCCTGGGCTACAAAGTGAGCTCAAGGCCAGCCTGAACTGCATAGCGAGACCCTGTCTCTTTTTTTTTTTTTCTTTTTTGAGACAGGGTCTCGCTATGCAGTTCAGGCTGGCCTTGAGCTCACTTTGTAATCCAGGCGTAGCTCCAACTCATGGCAATCAACCTCCCTCAGCCCCCTGAGTGCTGGAATTATAGGCATGCACCACTACGACAGGCCTGAACTATGTAAAATTTAAGAATGAACTACCTACAAAGAAAAAAAGATGTGTGTGTCTGTGATGGCCAATTTTCAACTCAAGAATGGATTAGGGTATTTAGCTTAATACTTATTAATTTCTTACTTGTACAAGATGCTCACTGAATGTGAAACATCATATACGCCCCAACTTTGAATTTTTAGGTGACCTGAACTTACCATTTTAAAACATAGTTTAAATTTCTGGCAAATGAATCTTTTTTGCTTACAAAAATGAAATCTTACCTTGAGCCACATGAAATTTTAAAATGATTTTTCAGTAAAACATGTGTTTCAATCTTTGGAAAACAGGGCCATTCTGGCACTGACAAAGCATCACAAACTCCAGCATCCAGGTCTGACTAAATGGTGGTGAAGGTATAATGCTCACAGACTGAAAAAAGAATAAAGCTGACTTCCTACAAGAAAAGAGAACACAAAAATCTAACAAAAAGGACTGGTCAGTGGGCTCATACAGGGAGGTTTCAGGAGAGCTAAAAGCTTTTCTCTGAAATAACTATCTCAAAAATTGCAACACATTTCCTTGTCTTGCTTCTAAATTCTCTGCCTAGTAGCGGGGCATGGTGGTGTGCACCTGTAATCTCAGCACTTGGGAGGCTGAAGCTACAGGATCGCTGTGAATTCAAGACCAGCCTGTTCTACATAGTGAGACCCTGTCTCAAAAAGAAATTCTCTACCTGGAAAATTCTCTTCTCTCTCATCAGCATTCAATAAGTGTATATTAAAGAATTTCTGTGGAAGGCAGGGTATAAGATGGCAAACATGTACACATATAGATATTTGACCCAATGTTAAAATGAGTAGAAGGGACAAATAATGAGTCCAGTAAGAAAGGTCCATATGCATGTAAGTAGCCAAAGAATGTCTGCACAGCTCAGAACACCAAGCAGGTTAGAAAAGGTCTGGACATCTCGAAGAAAAGTGTTCAGAGGGGTGGACAAAAGCTGGGGCAGGTTATCTGTGGAGAACAGAGAAAAGAGAATGGCTTCTTAGAGCCACGGATTTTTATTCTGGCAGGAGCTAGTGCAGTTGGGGGAATGTGGATAATCTTGAGTACCTTCAGTTTAACTTTACTTTGGGATACGTAAGTCTTTAAAGACATGAAAAGTTACGGTACGGTGCCATTTGCGGTTGTGGGGAATTTTGAAGAAGCGCACTTCAGGAAGGGGAAAATATTCCAGCTCTCCACAGGAGATAGGACTGTACCAGTGCTTGAGAGGGCAGGTTCTGCCTCCCCACAGTGCCTGCCGGGTTCATGCCCTACCTCTGCTACCACAGAACAAGATTCAGAGGCCAGCGACTGAAGATGAGAGGAAAACAGACACTTGAAATGTTCCCTGCAAACGATCACTAATTTGGGGGCTTTGCTAATACCTTCTCAGGACTGCTTCTCAGCCTTCTGGCTCAAATTAACTGTATCAATCTTACCAAGAAGGATTTTGCAGAAAGGGGGAAGTACACACTGGCCAGGCTCCAGAGACTAGTTACCACCGGATAAAGTGACTCTGAGTTTCAAACATCTCAAATGTAAAACAAGGTCTTGGCTGCCTGAGCCAAGTGTGCAACTCTATTGACATACTCAAGAGCAGTGCACACCACTTGGATTAACTCACTTAGAATGCTAGAAAAGAGAAGATACGCTAAGGTCACAAATTTAAGTTTCTCAGAGACAGCACAATGAACTCCCTAAGGACAGTGGGCACATTGTCAGCGAGCTAACCTGAAAGCTAGCTCTGAGGAGCCTGACGTCTGAAAAGGGCTGTACGGCCAGGCCTGCCCCAGGACCAAGGTCTTTCTTACAGCCTAACAAGGCCTTAGGCCTTACCGCTAACGTTTTTTGCCGTCAACCATACGTTTACACCGTGGCTGATGTGCTTTCCACTTAACGCTGATGAGTCTGAGTGTACACACCTGCTCGCCCTTGCGCCAACGGCCACTCACACTCCCAGACTCGACCAACAACTGGGCTGTGTATTGCTGTAATCACTGGACGGGTTTTTAGCTGTTTCTCGTTACTGCCTGAGTGGTGAGCCCTTGTCACACTACCTGAGACCCATGACTGCCACACTCTTTACTTTCTCGCTCTCCTGTCGCATGATTCTGTCCACTGTGCCACCTTTTCTTTTTATGGGGGCAGGGGATCACACACCCACTTCCATCCCGTCAGTCCCCCTCTGCACCTTCCTGTGGGAGACGTGCTCGCTGGGCTCTAAGTGCTGCAGCTGCCCATTATGACCAAAAGAGAAGTAGGAATCAGAGTAACTATCCCCGTCACCATCCACAACATTAGCTGTGTGACCCTGAGTAAGTCCGGACCTTAGTATATTCTCATGTACACTGCGCACACTGCCTATCTCATAGAAGAGGTAAAACCAAAGGCTCCTATGGGATGATTTCAGCTCTATCTAGGAATAAAGAAGCTACTCCTGAAGCCCAAGTGTGCAGGAAGGCTAACCTCCAGAAAAGCAAGGTTTTCCTTTATTTAATCCACTGAAAGACTAAGAGCAGCATGCAGAACCTCTAGCCAAAATAAGCTCTGGAGTAAGACTATCACCTGGACTAGCCACATTCAGTCTTCAACTTCATCTCATTACTTATGGCTGCAGTGCTGCCTAAATCTGACATTTCAAACCTGATAATGAACAGTCTTTTTCTCATAAAAATGAAATACAACCAGGCGTGGTGATGCATACTTGTAATCCCAGCACACAGGAGGCCGAGGCAGGAGGACTGCTATGAGTTTGAGATTTGCTTATGTAGCCTGGGCAACCTAAGCAAGTTCAAGACCAGCCTGAACTACATAGCGAGACCCTGTCTTAAAAGTAAAACAAATAAAGAAGGACAATTTTTACTCTTAATTTTAGAGAAAAAGTTTAAAACTCATCCTTTTCTCACCACCAAGTGATCAACATTCTTAACATTTTAGCAGTCCCTTGCCTGAACCACTCAGCCACTGCGTCAAGCCATTCATAACATTTTATTGAATCCCTTTCTAGGATTCTTTTAGTCTGTGATTCTCCTGCCTCAGCCTCCTTAGTATCTGAGATTACAGGTGTGCACCACTGTACCCAGCCTTAATAGGATTATGTACATATGTATTACTTGTAATCCATTCATGTAATAATATTATCAAACATTTCCCTAATATTCCAACTTGTAGCTGTCAACTAGGGAATATTATGAATGTATTTGAAGTTTATTTGCATATGGAATAGTATCTAAAAAGGATATCATGGCCATTAAAAATTTTACATATCGAACTAACTCCCAGAAAGAGTTCAATGTTTAAATAAGAAAAACTTTTGTGTCAGCAAAATTCAATTAATGGGTAAATAAACTTTAGAAAAAGAAAGCTGAGTATACAAAATTAAAGTCAGTACTGTCACTATTATACAGACTACACCATTTAAAAGGTCAAAATTTTATCTCAATTGACATTTGTATTTCTCAAGTGAACTGTACAACAGAAACAAGGAAATGCAGACCACAAGAATAAAACTGTAAGTAGCGTTTAACCAAGAAAATATGAAAAATACTGATCGCAACTGACCTACAACTTTAAGATGCTCTATTAACACAAGTATGAAAAAAAAAAAAAAAAAACACAAGTATGATTTACTTTAATGAGAAGAGCAGAATCCCTCCAAACCTTAATAATCTGGGGACTAACAATGACAAAAAAATCCATTACTGATCATGGGCCCTTATGGATATACTGGTGTGCATTTTCTATTTTAATGTTTATTACAAAGAACTTTGAGGATTATGCACAGGAACTCCAAAAAAAAGGCTACGCACTTGAATCGTAAAGTCATAGAGAAAGTCAAATAGTCAATTAGCACTAAAAGACATGCAACCTAACAAAAAAAAATACAAATTTAATTAAGACGGTATTTTCTGCCTATGAAATTAAATAAAAGTTCAAAAGAAAAATATGAAAAAAATGGAGGGTAATTTGCCAATAATATCAAAATTTTAAACTAACATGTCCTCCTACCAATCCTTTTATCAACTTCTAGAAAAATAGTCATCTAAGGCAGACAGACATATGTGCAACCAGGTTCAGAGAAACAGTATCTATAAAAAATACTTAAAATCCCTTTTAGGGAATAGGTAAACTAAAACTTTTACTCAGCTTTAAAAAGTCATACAGATATTCAATAAAAACATAGAGGACATTGACAATATATTCTTGCATAAAAAATAAAGCAAACTGTACAGGATGAGTCCTTTGTAGAACATTAAAAACGACACCAGTGATATATCTCCCAGCATGCTTATTTCTTTTAATCTTTGCACATGTGAAGAGCATGACCCAGGAGAACAATCCCGAGCCTATTTCTAGTGTTTCTTTGGTTATGGATGTTTGACAGCAAGTGTGAAAATCAAGTTTTTATTTTATAGACTTCTCTGTTGCTTGAATTTTTGTTATGTGGAGATACATTACTTTTATAACTTAAAAATAACGGGGGAGAGGTGTCCTCTTGACAAATGAATACACAATATACCACAATGAAATGTGGACAGCACCTCAGCTCGTCTACTAGAAAGACAGGCATTACATGCTATTAGTCACGGCATAATTATTCAACATATGACCGTGCATCAAACACGAACACTCCATTACCTCTTTAGGTGATAAATTTTGTGTGTAAACTGTCCCTTTTCTCCGTCCTTCTCGTAAGGCTCATTCTTTAAGACTTCGATTCCTTCTCCACCACCAGTCTCGTTCTTGCTGGCCTCTGCGACAGAGTAAAGCTGTCCAACCTGATACTGAAATTTCGAAGAGCACAGAACTTTAACAAGTGAGCCATACCTGCAGAAATTTCCTGTGCTAAAATCTTACTATAGAAGATATAGAAAAGTACCTAACTATTCAGCACCTATGTTGTACATGAAAACATGACTCAAGTTAGAAATTAATGTTTGAAAAGACAAACACCAGCTAATACAGCTTTAATTAACTAAGTATTTTATAGGATTTCCATTATTCGGAAAGATTGCCAGTTAAAAATATTCTGTTGCTTTAATATATACTATCCATTCATGAAGAAAACTCCCTGACATTTGATTCAATTTCTGTTTTTGTTTTTGTTGTTGTTTTTTTTCTTAGACAGAGTCTCGCTATGCAGTTCAGGCTGGCTTTGAGCTCAGTTTGTAGCCCAGGCTGGTCTCGAACTCACAATGATCCTCCTGCCTCAGCCTCCCAAGTGCCAGGATTACAGGTGTGCACCACCACGCCCAACTCCTGATGCAATTTCTGAACACGGCATACCTGCACTTCCCAAGTCATTTTCACTTCTATTATATCTCAATTTTACAACTTCTCAGGAAGGTACAGCAAGAATGCAATTGTCACTTTGTCAATTAAAGCTGAGCAACCCGAATTTTGACCTTATTAACAAATAGAAAGGAAATAAAATATAATAAAACCCTGGAAATCCGAAGAACTATAACAGTCCAAATTTTAGTAAACTTGTGACTTATATATGACATGCCCAGTTTGGTCCTTGCTCAGTTTAACAGAAACTGAGTACCCAGGATCAGAACTTTTAAACAAAGTTCTTTAGTCAACGAAGTTTTTAAGGTATTATAAATATACAAATATTACCATAAAAGGCAGGAAATTGCTGACAGCAGTTATCTGTTTCATTTAAAATGAATCGAATTTTTTTTTTTTTGTCTTTTTGAGTCAGAGTTTCACTATGCAGTTCCTGTTGACTCAATTCAAATTCAATTTTCAGCTGTATTAGCTGGTGTTTGAGCCTCAAACTCACAGTGATACTCCTGCCTCAGCCTCCTGAGGGCTGGGATTACAGGCATGCGGCGCCACACCCAGTCAAACCAAATTCTTCATGACAAGTACCAATACTCAGTATTGTTCTACGCCACTAGCAGTTTCCAATAGGTAAAGCAAAGTTCTCAAGGTCTAATATGTTTCATGATCAACCCTGGCAATACCTCCAACCTCTTCAAATTTGACTAAGCTTCTTTCTTCTGATGAAGACAGCCTAAAAAGTATCTTTCTTCTTTATAAGTATATACACAAATAAAAAGCACAAAAACCTGTATCTGAGAATTTGTAATTCAAAACTATCCCTTTTTTTTTTTTTTTTTTTGGTACTAGGGATTAAACCCAGGGCCTTCACACTGTGCTACATCCCAGCCCTTTTTATTTTGAAACAGATCCTTACTAGGTTGCCAAGTTGTCCTAGCTGGGCTTGAACCTGTGATCCTACTGTTTTTGTATCCAAGAGTACTATGATTACAGGTATAGTACATCATGACTGGCTTAAAATTATTTTTAATCTTTCAGTTCGTGCACTTTTTTTTTTATCTTGAAGAGAAGAAAAATAAACAAAAAACGGTACAAAATTTCAAAACAAGATTGCAGGAGAGTAACAATGTTCAGTACATTGTGCATTATCTTCAAAGCAGTTGCTCGTAATACAAGACACAGGCATGAAAAACCAATCAAGTCATACAGGCATATACCTATCCTTTCAGTGAACTAATAGCAATTGGAGAAAAAAACGAAGGTTACCATAAGCTCAGGCAATATTCCATATGTAAAAAGCTCACGGGCATATGCCATCTTGCAGGATAATTTAACTTTAAAAAACACATACAACCATACTCCATTTGGAAGGATCTGGAGCTGGGGCGAAACAAATATCTTAAATGCTCCCAAAATATATCTGTTGGGATTTTAGACTTCAGAAGACTGTTTCCTCTTTTAGAGGTTTTCCATGACCCAGCACCAGAGTAAGTCTAGTAATGCCACGCTTAAGTCCTGCAAAATATACTTTTTAATACTGCTACATTTTAAACAAGATTAAAATGTCTGTAAAGTTAATTTGGTCTTAATCAGGAACACAGTAACAAAAATGTACACAGAAACATCTTAACAATTGTATTCAAAAAAAGTTGCTAGTGAACTGACAATTTGTAGTATGCTACTAGGCTTTTCTAAGAATAATTTAGAGACAAGAGCCGTGTTTATTAACTCTTAATATAACAAAAAGCTGAGAAGATTATTTGGGTAATATTACCAAGACCCAAAGACTTCAACAATTTCATTCAACCAGCTAAAACCAAAAGGAAAAAAGCTAACAATGTTAAGTTCCATATGTGAGTTTAAACAATCAATTACGCAAACACAGAAAAAGAACAGGGGTGCCTGGTTTGTGTCTAGTGTATTATAATACAGTAAAACCTCAGGCATTCTTGAGACACATACAGCTGTGTCCAAGTTTGCACTGAACAGTGTCAGGCAGCTAAATTTTTAAGTTCCTGCATTTTCCCTTGTCTTCTGTCAGCTATCGCTGAAGTTATCAGGTTGCACTGTCTTACTTGCAAGTCACTGCTTCTGCTCTACTGCGCCTTCTAGGAAAACCCGGTAACTGGCTGAGGAGGAACTGCGTGCAACTTGCAGAGAGCCCAGAGGGTTTTATGAGCTCCTCCACACATACTTTCTTTCTCAGCCAGCTTTACTTTCTCAGCCAGCTTTTCTCCTTTTAGCCTCATTCTTGGCTATCCTACAAGTACCTGCAACTGCAAGACACAGATTCTCTTAGGCGATGTACTGCTACATCATGGGCAGATCAAGTAAGACAATAAACTCTCACAGTTATGTGTTAGTCAGGACACGCCTGGAACACCTTTTTCAAAGTGACAACTCTAACATATGTAATGAGTACGCTGGCTGGTGAAGTCTAGAAGCCCTGTACATGAGACCAAAAAACCAAAAGGCAGTGACCTTTTAAAATGGAATAAAAGACCAGGCGTGGTGGCGCATGCCTATAATCCCAGCACTCAGAAGGCTGAGGCAGGAGGATCACCATGAGTTTGAGGCCAGCCTGGGCTACAAAGTGAGTTCAAAGTCAGTCTTAACTACATAGCGAGACCCTGTCTCTAAATAAATAAATAAATGGAATCAAAGGTCTTGGGGAGTAGGTATGTGAGCTGGCAGGAAGGGCTACCATAAGAAAATCAAACAGTTACAACAGGTAAGACAGAGCAGGCTTAATTCCCATTGCTAAAGTTAGCTGAAATATGAACAATGGCACAGCACTATAGGAAAGTAGATTCTGGCTTAAAGACCAATGTTTAAAATATCTTATAGTACTCATTAAATAAAAATTTAAACAATATATAGTATCCTATAGTATAGGAAGTTACTTCTCAAACAGCTGAAAAGGTGTTTAAATTCAGGCTGAGTCTCATTTCTCTGAGATGGTATGGAAAGAACTCCTCTACTGGTTATATTACATTCTGTAGACTCTTCTAAAGCAAGGCAGAACAGAAATTCATTTATCATTTATTATCAGCGATGTGTTGAAAAAATAAGTATTACAAAGATATGTGTTCAGATGAACGTATCGAAGTAAATTATAACAGAGCCTGGCGTGATGGCACACGCCTGTAATCCCAGCACTCGGGAGGCTGAGACAGGAGGATTGCTGTGCATTCGAGGCCAGCCTGGGCTACATAGTGAGTTCAAGTCCAGCCTGAACGACATAGCAAGGCCAGGTCTCGAAGAAAAACAAAACAAAGTAAATTATACCAATAAAATGTTGCAGAAGAAAGACTTACCTCCTGAACAGAACATGGCAAAACCACACGGCTGAAAAGACAAAAAAGAATATATATTATATATGAAATGGCTTTAAAATAGGTATCTTGCCGAGCATGGTGGTGCACGCCTGTAATCCCAGCACTCAGGAAGCTGAGGCAGGAGAATCGTTGCAAGTTTGAGACCAGCCTGGGCTACAAAGTGAGCTCACCGCTGGCCTGAACTGCACAGTGAGACCCTGTCTCAAAAAGACAGAAAATTAAAAATTAAAAGAGGTATCTTTAGACATAAAGGAGTTTATTGTTTAAATCCAATGACTCCATTGACAGAACTCTGAAATCAAAAGACACAAGAAAGCCATTTGTGGAAGATATCTTTCCGGTGCCCAATGCCTGCATCCAAAACAAGGGTTTTTAAGCCGCAAAAATAAAACTACCATTCCTGGACCACAACGTTGACTTTCACGGAACGTCCTCATGGTAGGAGGACCTCAAAGATGCAGTTGCAGCAATTCTCATGAGGACTAAGGAAATGAAAGAAAAAAGAAAAAAAAAAACGTGAAACTCATCACTGAAAATTGTAGGGTACAGAATCTATTATTTGTAGGCTGGCTAGTCAGTTGCCCTTATGAAATGTTTAATGTTTATATTCACCACCTATATACCGTGCACTTTGAAAGTGACACTTCTCACAGAATACGTATTTTGAATTTCATAAACAAATGCTTGTACAAACTGTTCCTCCACTACCCAAGTATTCAAGTCTAATAAGGTAGAAAATAAGGACTCCTTTGGAATTGAGGAAAAACTTCTAGGAAACTACCTGGAGCCTTACAAATAGAGTAACCTTTTCCAGGATAGTCAATTGCTACGTGTTCGATCCTGTCCCAGAGAATATATACTGAAGACATCAGAAGGATATTTTTAGGCCAAGGCGTAGTAGTGCACACCTGTAATTGCAGTACTCAAGAGGCTGAGGCAGGCAGATCACTGCAAGGTTGAGGCCAGCCTAGGCTGAAAAGTGAGTTTAAGGCCAGGCTGAACTACATAGTGAAATCTTGTCTCAAAAAAAGGATACTTTTATACTTTCATTTTACCCAAAATATAGATGAATTCCAAAAATACTGTGATTATTTTATCAGAATACTGCATTTTATCTCTAGATTTTTTTACAAGGAAATCTTTTAACTTATTTCTACCATTAACTTACTTTTACCATGAATTCCAAAAAAATCAAGGCCACTCCCACATATTACCTATGTAACAACTGTCTCATAATAATTGGCTTCCAAGTTAGCGTACCCCCCATCCCAGTCCTTCTTAGACTCTGAAGAGGGAGGAGGGAACAAAAGACCTCACAATCATCTCAATCCTCATTTTGCAGAAAACTCCCCATGCTTTTATTCATGCTAATTTTTCTTTTTTTCTGCTGTCTTCTCTCTTTTTACTTTTCTCCAAAGTAAGAAACCATCTGTATTACCAACGGCCTTTTCAACATAGGCAATCTTGGTTAACTGTCTCTACAAAAATATGAAACAAAATAACATAACCCAGAACTTACATTTAGTTTACATTTCAGCTGCATGCTCTACCTCCTTTCTCCTTTTATTCTCAAATATCTATGCCTGAATGTCCACCTAAAAATGGTGACTATTCCCAAACACACGTAGTTAATTTCTGTTCTCATAAAGAACAAATCTGCTGTCCCTCCAGATCTAAAAGTCCCTAATCATTTTAGCTGTCCCCTCAGGGCACAGAGTTCTGCTCGCTGTCTCAGTAGGGACACAGACACCGAGAGATGAGACATGAGAAAGGTACAGGTTGGGACACATGTTCAGGGCTCCGACACAATGGAAAGAAATGTATTCAGAAAGTCTGATCCAAGAGCTAAGTGATGTAACTCCTGCTGACCTGAAGAAGACAGAGGTAGGTGGTCAGAACCACCGAGCAGCAGGAGAACGGGAAGTCTCTGGGGAGGCTCCTCGAACATTACTAATAAAGACCTGACCCAAAATGTGGAACTGTAGAGAGAAAGGAAGTGGAAAAAGTTTTCCCTGAAGTTTCGCAAAACCAAAGAATCACAGCCGAGAATTTACCAAATACTCACTGGCAGGAAGATCCCCACTTTTGTTTGGCAACATGTTCAGAGAAACTTCTTGCACAGAAGGAAAGTGACTAGACACTGAGGAAGGCGGTCGAGTAACTTCAAGATTTGCTTAGTAAAAAATAGAACAAGGAACAGGTTTTGCTTTTCCATTATATGCTACAAGCAGTATTTACCTTTCAAAGGAGTCATGTGAAAATTTATAATCTGCTCTGAACAGCATTATTAAAATATTTTTTCCAAATGGAACCAGCTACAAAGTCCTCAATACTAATTTACCTACTGCTTAAGTAGTAAATGAAAGGGAATTTGCCTATCCTCAGTCACTTTTTAACCTTTTAATAAAAAATAGACGGAATTTTATAAAACAAGCATTTGCCAAGGTTTTTTGGTTTATCAATATCTTCATACAGGAATGACCTACTCCCTGCTCCTGGTTTAAAACAATCTTACAAAGCTGAATGGAAAGCAGGAATCATTTTTTTTTTTTTTTTAATTCAACAGCCCTGAGTATTTACCCAATTCTAGACCAGATGCTGTACTGGAAACTGGAAATACTTAAAATAAGAAACAGCCTCCACTTGGAAAAAAAAAAAAAAAAAATTCTAGGAGGAAAAAAAATATGTGAAAGAGACACAGGAAGAATAAACATCAAAAAACAATGTAGCACCCTTAGGAAACATAGCTAAGACTTCCCACACATCTCAACATTTGTTACTTCAGTACACATAAATTTACATAAGGAAGGTGAAGGTTTGCAAAAAGGATGTGTGCAAATTCCCGGTGGGGACTGCTTTCAAGGAGTGAGCTGGGTATTAGCACGGCAAAGGCATCTATCTGCTACACTTAATTCACATTTTTAGAGGGAGAAAGTTAACTCTAATAAAAATGACTAGATATCTGATCTAGACTCAGTCTCTTAACTCTGGCCATGTGGCTTGGGCCAAGTTCATTTCCCTCCGTCTTAACTCCTCCATCAGTCTTAGTATCTGCCATAACATAGGTATTAGAGTAACAAATGGTAACTTTCTTGATACATTGTTATAAAAGACTTGAAAGAAAAAATTTATAGAAACCAGAAGTTCAGTTCTATAAATAAGCTTCAACTGCAAAACTTTACAGGAAAGATGTCTTTCCCCAGGATCTGTCATTGACAAACGCTGTAATTTTTCATCAGTTCATCTAACTAATGTTTACACGCAAAGGACTGCTCTGAGAGTCAACGACAGAGTGAGCAACACTGCAGAATTCACGGAGCTTGCATGTAGTAGAGACGACAGCGCGAACATAAATTCCCTGAGGGAAACCCAGAGCACACACCTGGAAGGAGAGCGGTGAGCTGAGGAAGAGCTCTTCAGGCGAAACAAAAACAAACTCAAAGCCCTAAATCGAGCTTACATATTTGTAGAGTAGTAGTGGAACAGGGAAAAAAAAAGTGAGACTTGAGTGGGCAAAGAAAAAGTACTAAATGAGACCGGAACAGAAAAATATGTTAAACTTCTGTAGGCAGTTTTAAGCCAAAAAGTGCATGAATCACTTTTCTTTTTTTGGCCAAGTCACTAAACTGTCTAAGCTGTGTTTAAATTTGCCATCCTCTTGCCTCGCTGGGTTAGAGGAGTGCCCACCACACTTGGCTACTAATGATAAAAGGGACTTAACACACCAAAAATAAAATGTCTCGTGGGGTGCGGAGGCACATGCTTGTAATTTCAGCACTCGGGAAGCTGAGGCAGGAGGACTGCCGTGAATATGAGGCCAGCCTAGACCACAAAATGGAGTTTAAGGCCAACATGAACTACACAGTGAAACCCTGTCTCCAAAAAAAAAAAAAAGTGAAACAACTTGGGACGAAAAAAGAAGGGGCCATACTAAAACACTCTAGTTAGCCAAGAGATACTGAGGACAGGAACCAGGTGTGACATCCGGACACTGACTGCCAACCTGACGTTTTGTGTCGAGAAAAGCCATAAGAAAATTACTCCGCCGATCTGCTGTCCAAGTGTCTAGCACCTCACCTCAACCCTGTGAACTAGCTGGGGCCCCGAGGGTCGTCTCATCGTCAAGATGGGGCAACTGAGATTCGGGGTAGGGGAACGGCTCTCCAGTCAATCAACTGAGCATCCAGAGGGAGTGCGCGTTTTGTGGGTCCCGGCTCCAGCTGGAACTTTAGGGCTCCAACGAGCCGACACCAGGGCTGCCTTCACGGGGCAATCCCATCTCCCGCGGGATACGAGCAAGACTCCACCCCGGACCACAAATCACGGTCAGATCACCCCGCCTCCCCGTCCTCAGGTTACGGCCGGTCCCACCCGCGGGCCCGAAGGGTGGGCCCGGGCCAGGAGTGGCGGCGACAGGGGAGGAGAGTGGTCCCGGCGGAAACTCCCGGCCGCACCTTCCCAAGCAACAACTGCTTGGACCCAGACCCAGCAGCCCCCGCCCGGGAGGAGAAGGCGGCTGTGTTACCATGGCAACCCTGGGGTTCCACGGCGCTCCGCGTAGGGTCCTCCAGTGGCCCCGGGTACTTGCCGGGGGTGGGGGGGCGCAGGAGGCGCCCAGCCCGGGGCTCACTCCGTCTTAGGAGCATTCTGCCACTTTTCACCCAATAAACCTCCCACCACCGTCGTTTCACATCCCCGCCAGAGCCCACCGATCCACTCACAATTCTTTAATCACCACCATCTTCCTGAAACCCCCTTACAACTGCCGCCGCTACCGCTCCCGCCGCCGCCGCCACCGCCGCCACCGTCTCTCAAGACGCAGGCGCAGCCCCGCCTACCTGCCCTCGAGTCAGCGCTGCGCCTGCGCGTTCACACCCTTCCGCCGCGACACATCGCGTCACCGCGCCACCAGTGGCTAGTTCCGCCCAGTTCCATGCCCATCCCGAAGGCATGAGGTCTCTACTGCACCTGCGCGTCCCACCCGCGCGTGCGCGCGCGCGGCTTCTGCTGCTCTTGCGAATCTGGGCGCGCGCACGCCGGCGGGCTCCGCTTGGCTCCTCCCTTTAGCCTGGTCCCTCTGGGCGTCTGTGCAGCCTACGCTTTCGGCTTGTGTTCCGGTCGGTTTCTGGAAGGAGTTAGGCGGCGGGCTCTACTGTACTGTCTCGCTGCTTTGAGAAGAAACCCGTCTTCGTGACCTCGCCTCGCTTTAGAGTTCTCACGGGTTCTGGAAGCTGACAATGTCGAGGTCGCCGAGTTCTGTTACCCTCCCCCGTTCTGTCGCCGCTGATTCCGCAGGAACATGTTACAGAAGGCCAGAACCTGTTTTTTAGGCCTAATATTTTTAGTTTCCTGTCCTGCATCTTCATACTCAACATAGGTAGTCTTTGCCCGCAAGAGGGTCAGTTGACTCAAATGAATTACACCAGTCTCGTACCACCATTTATTTCATTACTTTCCTTGTATGTGCTTTTGGAGTGAAGAGCTGATTGTAAAAATAATCGGTGTGGTGGTGCAGGGAGGCTGAGGCGGGAGGATCACTGCGAGTTCGAGACCAGCCTGGGCTACAAAGTGAGCTGAAGGCCAGCCTGAACTGCATAGTGAGGCCCAGTCTCAGAAAAGAAAAAAAAAAAAAAATCAGCTTTACTAAGGCAAACTAAAAGATTTCTCAACACAAGCACTGAGTTACACTTTATGCACTGGTTGGTATAACAACTCTGATCAAAGGAATTTGAAATCTTTTACATACTATCATTGAAGCTAGCCTCTTTTACCCCTAAAAAGTAGATATAACTAACCTGGGATCGAAAGATTTTTTTTTTGCATGGGTTCGCCCAAGGGAACTTGTGAGTGGGTAAAATTACGTACATCATTTCTTTTCTACCCACATTTTCCCAGGTGAGGCCAGGCTTACTCTGCATTTTTCCATTCCTTTTTTCCTCCCCACCCCCGGATTCGAGGGTGATCTTAATTATTTCCGGGAAACTAGAAATCTTGCCAGGAATGCTTCAGTTGTGTTAAGTATCAGGGCTTAGATCATAACGTATCACAGTGGGAGAGACAGGGTTTCAAGACTTGGGCCCCAGAATCCTGGCTTTTCCACTTAAAGGTATAGATGTCTCTTGAATAAATGACAGTCTCTCAGAGACTAGAATTGTGAATCTAAAAACGAAGACTAATATAAAAAATAAAAAAGGAGCTTCACCATACAAGATGGTAGGAATGCAACAATGGTTCTCATACCGCATATTGTTGTTTTCAGGTCAGTGGTTCTGATTACCAGATTCAAGCATGCAAAATTGGTCAAGTTCAATAAACCACAGACATCAGCAATACATCTACCCCAGCTATCCTTGTATATACCTATAAATTTTGTTCTTCATTTTAAAGAGAAAAGAAAAAAAAATAACAAAAATACATAAAAAAAGCATAGAAAATAATAAAAATGATACAGAATTTCCACACATTACTGTCTTTGATTGTTTGATCAATCCTACAGTCTTAGGTCTGGTGGACTGAGCAACTTCATTGAAGATAACAGTATTAATGTAGCAACCATTGTTAATTCCCATCATTTTGTTTTGAGGTCATGTGTCATTTTTGTTTTTGTGTTGTTTTGATTTTGTCTTCATTGTTGTTTTGTTAGTGTTTTAAATTTTTAAAATAAAAAATGAAAAAGGAGACATATCTATACCAGATTTAATGAATGAAAGGTTAAGTATATAAAGCACCTACATTACTCATTACCCAATCTATTATAGGTTTTTCAGTGAATAGGAACCATTTAAAAATTTTCAGAGAGCAGAAACAAGAATTTAATGTAATAAGCTTCTAAGGTTATAACTACCTTTAATCATTATCCTAGTGCATAAACTAATAATTAATGTATATGGATATATACACTTGTATGTTTATTCATATTGCCTGTAATAATTTATCATTTACCTACAGTGCATAATGCAGATTACAGTTCTATGTTGGCACCAACGTTTAGCACTCTCAGTTTTTATTTTTTGCCCCTTTATTGATTTTAAAATGCTATCATACATATTCATTGCATTTCTTTGTATGATGAGAATCTCTGTATCTGTTTTTTTTGGTATGTTTTTGTTTTGTTTTGGTCTGGTTTTTTATCTTTTTGAGACAGGGTCTCACTATGCAGTTCAGGCTGGCCTTGAGCTCACTTTGTAGCCCGGGCTGGTCTCGAACTCACAACGATCCTCCTGCCTCAGCCTTCCAAGTGCTGGGATTACAGGTGTACACCACCAAGCCCGGTTTGTATCTGTTACTGCCCACGTTTTTATTCTTTACACTTTTTTTTATTTGTAGGAGGTTGTTGTGTGCACCCAGACAGACTATCTGGATTTAAATTTTTTTATTTTGCGGTACCAGGGATTGAACTCAAGACCTTGCGCTTGCCAAGCAGGTACTTATGCCACTGAGCTATATCCCCAGCCCCTGGATTTAAATTTAAAGTGTATGTGAATACAGTCATACTTTGGAACTGGGCTTCAGAACACATCAAACGCAGTATTTCTGGCATTTTGATGAGGGAAATTGTTTCAGGGCTTGGCCCTTTCTCCAGATTTGTTGCACTTGTTAGAACTCCTAAGACAGGACACCACCCCACGAGAGCTGTTCCATTGATTGCCACTTGGTGCCTCTCCGTTTGATGAAACAGGCCCATGTGTCAATCTCACAGCAGCTTGGGAACAGTGCAGGACCTCCACATGTTCATCGTTACTATCTTGTACTTTCGTGCATTTTAAGTGCTAATCACGGATCACCAAAAGATCAAGAGTGATGCCAAAGATTAAGAGTGATAGCCAAAAAAGCAGTCAATAAGAGCAACCTTTAAAAAGAAAAGGGAGAGATGGGCGTGGTGGCGCATGCCTGTAATCCCTGCACTCAGAAAGCTGAGGCAGGAGGATCGTTGTGAGTTCAAGACCAGCCTGGGCTACAAAGTGAGCTCCAGGCCGGCCTGAACTGCATGGCGAGACCCTGTCTCAAAAAAGACCAAAAAGAAACCCACATATTAAAAGTGTAATATTTTATTATTTTATTTTCCTGTTAAGTGCACATTGTTTAATGTAATAAAACTCATAAAAATTAAAATTAATAATTGTCAGTAGAAATATTTCTAAAAAATAAATGTGTGTGTTACACATCCGGCACAATGTGCCTTTTACAGTATTTGCCGTGATGCCCCCAGGGATACAGGACAATCCTGGGACGAGGGGTAACTAAGTGTTTAAAGCCAGCCATGAATGGTTTGTCAAAGGTAAAAAGAGAACTGGCGTTCATGGTATGACGGGGCACGGAGGGGCAGCCAGTGCCCGCAAAGAAGCTGCCGAAAGCTGTATCACCGAGTTTAGGGATTCTCTGTAGGGCTCAGGGCCCGGAAGCCAATGCTGAAGATGTGAAAGAATTCGGAGGGCAGAGCGGCAGTCAGCACTGAGGAGCTGCAGGGACTTCAACAGGCGCAGCAACAGGCAACGGCTTTAGGTGAGGTGGAGGGGTGGGAGGAAGCAAGTACCGCACCGATAACAGCCGTGTGTGCTAGGGGGTTGAAGCTGAGAACTTTCTGGAAAAGTATGGCCCAGACTAAGCTCTAGCTGGCCAAAATGTGGACCTATGTCACAACGTCACACTTAAGAAACATTCAGAGACATAGATAAAAATAAGTTTCTGTTGGTAAGCTTTTAGTGAAACTCCCAAAATCAGAATCTCCCAAATGTTCAGCGAATCTAAGAGACAGAAAAAAAGCTGGGAGTGGTTGCGCGCGATTGTAATCCCAGCACTAGCACTAGGGAGGCCGAGGCGGGAGGATCTCCGTGAGTTCAAGGCCAGCCTGGGCTACACAGTGCGTTCAAGACAAGCTTGAACTATGTAAGAGTCTGTCTCAAAAAATAGAGATAGACATAAAAAAGAAGAAATCAGTGAGAAATCACCTGGGTGGAGAGGATTCCTCTGCCAGTAGCTAAGCCTTCTTCTCCACCTTGTCACCATTTCATTCAGCCAGGACTCTTCCCAGCAGAGGTAAAGAGAAATTAATTTAGTGTGTGTGTGTGTGTGGGGGGTGTAATTGCTTCTTAATCCATGTCTTTTTAATCATAAGGTTCGATATTACAAAGCAATCTCATTACTTAATATTAGACTAATATTTCTACTTACATTATTTCTTATGGGAAATTTTTTGTTTCGGCACTTCTCACACGTGTAGGAATAAATGAACTACAAGTACTGTACGGAGTTACTTGTTATTTCCTTTCCATCTGTGAATTGTTTTTGTCATTTTGTTTACAGCTCGGTGTAATACCTCTCCAAAGGTGACGAACAGAAATGCCTCCGGAAGTTGCCCAGTGTACACCAGAAGGCAACATTGCTTGTAGTGATCTATATAGCGACTGGTACGCAGAGTTACTTATCATTTAAAAATTTTATCCTGCTCGTTTCTTAAGTTTCTGTTATTGCCCAATAAGCTCTAAGTGTTTCCCATGAACTAATTCTAACCCATTTACTCATCACAACAGCATAAGTAGGAACTATTATTATTCCTATTTTATAGAGAAACCTTGTTTGTGTGTTATAATGTACAGAATCTGTAATGTATGCACAATAAAATGTATTCACTTCATTTTATTTTTGAGACAAGCTCTCACATGTAGTTCAGGCTGTCCTTGAACTGACTTTATAGCGCAGGTTGGCCTTAAACTCATGGCAATACTCCTGCCTCTGCCTCCTGAATACTGGGACTACAGGTGTGTGCAACCGTGCCAGCTGTGCACTCATTTTAAATGTGTAGTTCAAAGAATTTTGTCAAATATGTAT